GTTCCGCATTAAGGAAACCTTATCCAAATCTTCCTTCCATTCCTGCTCCTCTGGTATTTCCTTCAACTGAAGCCCAGCTTTTACCATGTACTCATCTTTAGTGATCTTTAAAGCCATGTCTCTTATTAGATCATGCATCTTCACACCTCCATCTTCATAGTGAGTTTCTTCACATCTTTCCAATAAGCAAACATTCTCCAATTTATTCAATATTTTGTGACCTTGATCGAAGTATGCTTGCCTGCTTGTTCTTCTTTCCATCAGCTTCTCTGAAATGAAATTTGTTATCAATTTGTGTCTTTGAATACCATGGTCTTCTGGATATAACGAGCAATACAAGAAGCAACGCTTTAGTATTGGATCCCTCAATCGATTAAAACTACACAAGAGTATTGGAAACACTTCATTTTCCATGACATCTCGTCCCATACAAGATTCTTTCAGTTCTTCCAGGGCATCCCTCCACTCATGGATGTCAATCACCCCTTTCAAGCTTCCGGCCATTGCGACAATTGCAAGTGGCAAACGAGCACACTTTTTTGCCACTTTTCTTGCTACCTCTTCCACTTTGGGTGGAAGTCGTATACCATAACTAAGTTTGTTCATAAATAGCTTCCAAGCTTCTTCTTCAGAAAGAGCTTCTACTTTCAGATGCTTCTGGCATTCCATTTTGTGACACACTTCTCTTGATCGAGTAATTACTACCATCTTGAATCCATAGGTAGCAAGAGAGGGAGAAATTCCAATCTTCTGTAAAGAAAAAGGAGTCCAGACATCGTCCAACATGAGTACAAATCTCTTCTTTCTCTCCAATGCCCAACCCAATTTGGCTGCCCTTTTGTGCTCATCATCTTTATCGGAAAGATCTAGATTCAGGGCTTTTCCAATGTCATTCTGCAATTTGTGAATGTTTAAATCTTTTGAGACAGTGAACCAAAATATATTGTCGTAGAACATAGTTTCATTCTTGAGCTTATTATAGATACATTGTGCCAGAGTTGTTTTGCCAACTCCTCCCATACCATAGATGCCAATACTTGAGACCTCATTCCCCAATAAACACGTCCAAACTGTCTCCAAATTTTCTTTAAATGCTC